CCTTTTATTGTTGAAACAAACAAAAAAATCAAATACTTGGGAATAAACCTAACAAAAGAGGTAAAGGACCTATACAAAGAAAACTATAAAACAATGTTAAAAGAAATAAAAGACACAAAGAAATAGAAAGATATGCCCTGCTCATGGACTGGAAGAATTAACATTATTAAAATAGCCAACCTACCAAAAGCAATATACAGATTCAATGCTATTCCAATACAAATTTCAATGACATTCTTCAAAGAAATAGAACAAATATTGACGAAATTCATATGGAACCACCAAAAACCCCAAATAGTCAAAGCTCTCTTGAAAAAAAACAAGCAAAAAAAAAGGAATAGAGGTTATCACACTCCCAGACTTTAAACTATACTACAAAGCCATCATTATCAAAACTGCATGGTATTGGAACAAGAACAGACACACAGACCAATGGAATCAAATAGAAAACCCAGAAATAAACCCACAGATTTACAGTCAACTAATCTTTGACAAAGGAGCAAAGAATATACAATAGAGCAAAGAAAGTTTGTTCAATAAATGGTGATGGGAAAACTGGGTCGCTATATGCAAGAGAATGAAGCTTGACTACTACCTCACACTATGCAGAAAAAACAACTCAAAATGGATTAAAGAACTAGACATAAGACCTGAAACCATAAAATATATAGAAAGAAATATAGGCAAAACATTACATGACATACACCTCAGTAACATCTTTAAAGACACATCACCCAAAGCAGTGATAGTGAAAGAAAAGATAAATAGCTGGGACTACATCAAATGAAAGAGCTTCTGCACAGCAAAAGAGACAATAACCAAAACAAAGAGACATCCCACTGATTGGGAGGAAAATTTTGCACACAACACTAATGACAAAGGAGTGATCACAAAAATCTACAAAGAGCTGATGAGACTCAACAAAACAAAGTAAATAACTCAGCCAAAAAATGGGCAGAAGAGCTAAAAAAAACCTTCTCCAAAGAAGAAATGGAAATGGCCAAAAGGCACATGAAAAGATGTTTAACATCACTTGTAATCAGGGAAATGCAAATCAAAACTACAGTGAGATACCATCTTACACCATTGAGAATGGCACTTATTTTTTTTTCCTTTGCATGATATCTTTTATTTTTTTTAATTCATTTACTTCAGTTTTTATTGTTTAGAGTTCAGACTTTATTTTTCTAAATTTTATTTTTATATTCCCCATACAATTACAACCCCTCACTTTCCCCGCCCCCCACCCCCCATAGAGTGTCTCTTGTTCATAGTTATTTGTTGATTTTGATATTTTCTTTTTTATATTCTTTTTCCTGGTCCCTTATTTAAGTTTTCTAGATTCCTGCTATGAGTGAGACCATCCGTTATTTTTCTATTTCTTTCTGGCTTATTTCGCTGAGCATGATCCCTTCCAGTGCCATCCATGTTGCTGCAAATTGCATGTGTTTACCTTTTTTGAATGCTGAGTAATATTCCATGGTGTATATGTACCACATCTTCTTGATCCAGTCATCTGTTTTTGGGCATTTGGGCTGTTTCCAAAGCTTAGCTATTGTAAATAGTGCTGCTATAAACATAGGGGTGCAGGTGCCCTTTGGAATCGATGTTCTGTGTCATTTGGGTAAATACCTAGGAGGGGAATTGCTGGATCATATGGAAGCTCTATGTTTAGTAGGTCAAGAAATCCCCACACAGCTCTCCATAGTGGTTGGACCAGTTTGCACTCCCACCAGCAGTGCAGGAGAGTTCCTTTTTCTCCACAACCTCGCCAACATTTGCTGTTGCTGTTTTTTTTTAATATGTGGAGAATGGCACTTATTAAAAAAACTAGCTACAATAAATATTGGTGGGGATGTGGAGAAAAAGGAACTCTCCTACACTGCTGGTGGGAGTGCAAACTGTTGCAACCACTATGGATAGCTGTGTGGATATCCCTCAATCTGCTAAAAATGGAGCTTCCATTGATCTAGCCATTCCACTCCTAGCTATCTACCCAAAGGACAAAAAAAAACATTAATTCAAAAGGACACCTACACCCCTATGTTTACTGCAGCACTATTTACAATAGGTAAGCTATGGAAGCAATCAAATACCCCAAAATAGATGACTGGATCAAGAAGATGTGGTACATATATGCAATGGAGTATTACTCAGCAATCAAAAAAGATAAGATCTTGCCAAAAATCAGCACCTCTATATTGTTATAGCCTTTCTGGTCTCCATCATTGGGGTTCTAGTTAGTCTACCATTGTGACAGCTTCTTCTGTTCAGGGGTTCCTAGATCTTTTTGGTGAAAATGATTGACTTCTTCCCTAGCTGTCCTTAAAACTATCCTTTATTGACTTGACATCAATAGTGTTTTGTAACATGATTTGTGTGTCTGCCCTGGTAGCCCATGGGAGACAAAAATAGAGGCAAACCAATTAGTATCCTGCTGATATAGTGGGACAGAATGAAGCAATATGGATGAAGCTGGAAGGGATCATGCTCAGTGCTCAGTGAAATAAGCCAGAAAGAAAAAGAAAAATACCAGATGGTCTCACTCATAGCAGGAATTTAAAAAACCCAAATAAGGGATCAGGAAAAAGACTAACTATAACAAAGTAAAAATAAAAATCAACAGGCAACTATAAACCAAAGACATACTATAGAGGAAGAGAGTAGGATCCAAAGAAGTGTGGTGGGAATTGTATAGGGACTATAACCAAGATGAAAATGCATACATTGCACAAAAATGAAAAATGTAAAAAATATATAAAATAAAAATAAATAAATAATACTTTCTCTTTGTCTTATCTCTCCCAATTTCCCCCTGCAAATAAACCTTGTTATTCTCCCTATTTGAGTCACATATTACAACTGTATGTGTATGTGGGTGAGGACCCATGAACTATGACGTTCCCCCATCTCTGCAGAAGTTCAGAGTCAAAAGGCTTTTGAGTAGAGAATTGTAAAAGAAATAATGAGGCGCAACCCCAAAGCCAGTGGTTCTCATAGCCCACTCAATGGTATATGGTGGAACTTTCTAGACTCCAACCCCTGATGTTTACTCAATGATAGAAGGTAGAGCGTCTCAAACTCTACTCCCTGGGGGAGGCTGATGGGAAATAGGGGCAGAGCTGAGGTTTCTTGCAGTTAAAATTGGGTGGCTTTTGGCCAATGATTCTTCTGCAGCTTTGGGGAGTTAAACTGATGGGTGGCTGGCAGTTAAACCACTGGTGAGAAGGGACATCCCGGGGATGTCACATCTTGTGTCTGCTTTACAGTAATCCCTGCAGTAATAAGTGCATGGGTGAGGCCCCACCAACTGAGTGATTCCCCCAGACCTGCTCGGTTTCAGCTTTGATAACCAATGTGCTGGGGTTGACCAGCCCAGGGTCTATTCTTTGTGCTGGTCACAATATGTGCACTACAGTATATTTCTCTCCCTAAATTTTAGTAGGGTTATTCTTGTGTGTTTTTAATTTAGAATGGGTTCAACTTTAAGTTGAGATTGCTCTGCTTCTCCTCTGCTTTTCTACTGCCTGTTTTCTTCCCACCCGAACCCCCTTCTTCCTTTCTAAAATTTGGTTTGAGGAATCTGATAAGGTCTGGTGTCTGCAAGTAGATTTTTGTTTTATGGGCAATTCTACAGGCATATATCTGGTACTCATTTACAACCTCTGAGATTTTTGCTTCTGGGTGTGTGTGTGTGTGTGTGTGTGTGTGTGTGTGTGTGTCTTACAGTTTCCCTTCTGGTGTGAGAGAAGGTAAACCTTCTAATTTGGCAGAAAGTCTTCAAGAACAAATTCTGGCTGTCCTCTATAAATTAGATTTAGAAAAGGCAGAGGCCCATCTGATGGCACAAAGATGAGGGGAGCAGTGTTCCCCTTTCCCTGTTAGACAAGGGAAGGGCTGGAAGAGGAGTACCACATCACTTATTGGAAACTTTGAACCTACCAACAGAAAATCTCTTTCAAGACTCTAACATCTCTCCCGGGGAGGCTGCAGAGGCCCCACAGGCATCACTGAAACCCATAAGATAAGAATAAGATAGGAATAAGATAAGAATAAGGGCCTCCCCTGGTGGTGCAGCGGTTGAGCGCTGGGCTGCGAAGCTGCCCGCAGCCTCTGCAGCGCCGGTTCAATCCCCAGCCACCGGTTAAGGTCCCACGTGGCGCGCAGACCTCTTCTGCTGTGTCCGCTGCTCCCCTCAGCAGTGTGTTTCCTTAGTCTGCCTGTTCTGTTCCCCGCTCTGGCTCTGGTGGGTTCTCTCACCCTCCCTCAATCTGCTAAAAATGGAGCTTCCATTGATCTAGCCATTCCACTCCTAGCTATCTACCCAAAGGACAAAAAAAAACATTAATTCAAAAGGACACCTACACCCCTATGTTTACTGCAGCACTATTTACAATAGGTAAGCTTCTGACTGTGCCCAGTGCTTGCGTAAATAAATAAATAAATAAATAAATAAATCTTTAAAAAAAAAAAAAAAGAATAGAATAAGAATGGCTTCTCCTCATACCAGACAGAGCACCCGATTTGGCCAAAGGAGCTGCCCTGGGGTAGAGTAATTCCCTCTTTGCCAATTCCCAATGGGTACACTGAATAATAAGGGTCAACCTGCCAGATACTGTTGGTTATACAACACTTTTCCACTGGGGACCTCCAGAATTGGAGAAATTCTGTCCCACCCTATCAGCAGGATACTAATTGGTTTGCCTCTATTTTCGTCTCCCATTGGGCTACCAGGGCAGACACACTATTAATGTCACGTCAATAAAGGATAGTTTTAAGGACAGCTAGGGAAGAAGTCAATCATTTTCACCAAAAAGACCTAGGAACCCCTGAACAGAAGAAGCTGTTACAATGGTAGACTAACTAGAACCCCAATGATGGAGACCAGAAGGGCTATAACAATATAGAGGTGCTGATTTTTGGCAAGATAGTAGAGTTTCAACAACGGTCAGTGAGGATCTGTGTTTCTTGAAGGGATTATTCAGTCTTATAATACTTACACAGACATGAATCGTGATGCTCCAGAAAATGGTTGGATGATAAAAATGATATTCATTGAAGAGAGTAGTCCAAATACAAACAGGAAATTACCAAGATAAAGATGTCATAGAGATGAGTTCCCCACAAATGGTGGACATAGCCTTTAGAGTATACACTGCAAGAAAGAAAAGAGGTGAGAGCTGTAACTATTTTCAAAGAAAGAGAAGACAGCACATTGTTTAGGAGGAACAGATAAAGGAAGTGGAGAACAAATAGAAAAAGCAAACCCTAGGAGTAGAATTGGTATACTTATCTCAAGGAAGAGGGACATTGAAGAACGGTGTCTTCCAGGCAAGAAAGGGAAGGAATAAGAAAATGGAAATAGGAAAAGCAGCAGATGCCAGCACACAACAAGAACTAAGACAAGGGATACAGAAGGGAATTCAGGCAAAATAAAAGGAACAGATAAGAAAAAAGGGAGAAGCAACTATAAACCAGGGACACACTATAGGGTGGGGGGGGAGGGGCAATCTCCCCCCCACCGTATAGTGTGTCCCTGGTTTATAGTTGCTTCTTTATAGAGGTAGGGAAAGGAAGGACTAGAGTCAAAATAAGGGGGGAGGTGCAATTGTATGGGGAATATTACCAAAACAAAAATGCATACATTGTGCAAAGATGAAAAGAGATGTAAGAATTATATAAAATATTTAAATTAAAAAAAAAAAAAGGGAGAAAGGAAACAAATGGAAGTCCAGAATGGAGGATCAGATGAAGAACAGGGTTGCCCAGGGCTAGACTTAATCCGAGAAAGCCCGTTACGATAACCTCCTGGAAGCCCTAGGTAATTCTCAGTGTAAGGGACCATTTGATTTTTTAGCAGACATTGGAATAACATATTTAGTATTAAATTCTAAATTAGCATGGGCCAGTAAGAGGACTCTACCAGCCATCAGTGTTATGGGAAGGCCACAAGAAAAAGGCTTCCTACAATTTCTGGAACTCAAATTTGGCTATTATAGACCTCTAACATAGCTTCCTATACATGGAAGGGTGTCCAATTACCCTCCTTTGGCCATGACCTCCTAAACAAACTTAAACGTACAGACTAATTTATCACCACATTCAGAAGCTATACATCAGAAGCTACCTGAAAAGCCTTGTGATTCTAAGAGGTACTCACTTAGGATGCTCCAATGAAAATAGGAGGCTTTGAAGGGAATTCAAACAGTACGGCAAACAGTTCTATAAGCTGGTCTCATCTGGCTGTATTGGTTATAAACCAATGCTATATCACTGAAAACTAAAAATCATTTATCAAAAAAACGAAAAATTGGGCCTCCCCTGGTGGCGCAGGTGGTTGAACACTCGCTGTCCCCAGCCTCTGCAGCACCGTTTCGATCCTGGCCAGCTGGCAAGGGTCCACATGGCACGCAGCGGACCTCTCCTGTCTCGCCCGCTGCTCCCCTCAGCAGTGTATTTCAGTCAGTCTGCCTGTTCTGTTCCCCACTCTGTCTCTGGTGAATCCTCTCAGCCTCCCGTGCATCTGGCCTGTACCCCGGTTCTTGTATAAAAAATAGATAAATACATCTTTGAAAAAAAAACACTTAGGGAATTAAGGAAAAAGTTAGAGCTACACAAAAAAAAGAAAAGAACACCAGAGAAGAAATCAGTATAGGCAGAGTTAAATCTATTTCTATTCTTAGCTAATTAAAAAATAACTTTAGGGCCTCCCTGGCACAGCGGTTGAGCACTGGGTTGCGAAGCTGCCCGCAGCCTCTACAGCACCAGTTAGATCCCGGGCCGCCTGGAGAAGGTCCCACATGGCACCCAGACCTCTCCTGCCACCCACAGCTCCCCTCAGCAGTGTACTTCATCACTCTGCTTCTTCTACTCTCCACTCTGGCTCTGGTGAATTCACTCACCTCCCATGCCTCTGACTGTACCCAGTGCTTGTATAAGTAAATAAATAAATATTTAATAAATTAATAAAGAAATAGAAATAAAAAAACAAACCTTTAAAGTACAACGGTAACAATGTATTAAGTGATTAATAACACATGAATAAGTGAAACAGTTTTGTTACAAAAACAGGAGAGGGGGCACTGTAACCTACGAAGTACTTAAAAGTACACATTAAGCTGAGGAGTATTATTCAAAGGTAGAATTGAATTAGATAAAAATGTACATATTATGTACACCAGGGAAACACTAAAATGTATACTTAAAAACTGTAAATGACACACTGAAAGGGGAATAAAATCAAATCACACAAAATGCTCAGTTAAAACCATAGAAGGCAGGAAAACACCGGGGAAAGGCAAATGGCAATGAGAAGAAAATTTATTTGAAAACACTTACAAACATGATGGATATTAATGCAACAATGTAAAAACTTTGAAAGTGAATGGTATAAATGAGTCAACTGAAAGAAAGGTGGTAAGAATGGATTAAACAAACAGGGCCAACTATATGTTGTCTAAAAAGCACTCTCTTTAAATATCGACTCGGATAAATTACAAGTCAAGGGACAGAGACAGACATACCACATTAACACTATTTTTCACAAAGGCTGGAATAGTTCTATTCGTATCAGGCAGAGGATAACAGAAAATCTTCAACTGCTAGCGAACAAGAGGGTAATTTCACAATAACGTTATGATGTATCTCTATGTTTCTATCTTTATCTCTTGTCACAGAATCTAAGCAAAACGCAACAATCCTAAAAACCTAAAAGAGAGGATCAAATATATGAGATAAAAACTGACAGCACTGAAAGGAGAAACTGACGTGTCCCCTATAATTGCAGACATCAACATCTCTCTGTTGAGTACTTAGATCCAGCAGACAGAAAATCAGTAAGCTGTACTGGAGCTAAACACCACCATTAGTCAACCTGAACTAATTGATATTGACAGAATACTCCAACTACACCATCTAATCAAGTTTACACAACACACAACAAAATCGATCATGTTCTTAGACATAAAATACACCTAAAGAAATTTAAAGGAATAGAAATCATGTAAATGCTGTTCTCAGAGAGCGAAGGAATTAAACTAGAAACCATTAACATCGACAAAAAGATAGCTGGAAAACTCTTAAGTACCTGGCCCTGAACAAACTTCTAATTATTCCACAAGGCCAACAAGTCTAAAAAGACATTTTGAAATATTTTGAGTAAAAAAAAGTGAAAGTGGGAAGCAGCACTTATCAAAATCTGTGGAAGCAGCAAAGCAGCCTTTGCAGGGAAACTTCTAAATGTGTGAATTTCTAGAAAAGAAAAAATGATCTACACTGAATAAGCTAAGTTTCCACCTTAAGAAATCAGAGAAACAATAGCAATATAAACCTAAAGCAAGTAGAAAGGGGAAAAAAGTGTCAGAGCAAAAAATCAATGAAACTGAAAGGGAAAGAATTTAAGATTATAACACCAACAAAATCTGGTTCTTTGGGGGGAAAAAATCAGCATATATGATAAATCTCTACAAAGAGAGAAAACACAAATCACCAATATCAAAAATGACAGAGGAGGCATAACTACAGATCTCATACACTTAATATCTGGAACAACAGGAACTCTCATTCACTCCTAGTGGAAATACAAGAGGGAACTATCACTTTGGATGACAGTATGATTTACCTTGAAGTGTACTCATCAGTTGAAATACAATGAAAGGGGTAAGTGAAGAAAAGGCTTGCCTCTAGATATACGCACTGTAAATTATCAGCAAATAGGAGGAAATTCATACTTTCTTCTTCTAATAGATCAGTATTTCCACTTAATCATTTCAAATTTAGTTTGTTGCTTAGAAAAAAAAGTAAAGGCATGCAATTTCTTTGTAATTCCCTGCCCCTGATACAACTGATGGCTTCAATTCATTTCTACTCTACAGTCTATCTCCCGCCATCTGGTCTCCTTCTGCGCTTTCTTTGTCATCGAAGAATTAAGACATATTAACTAGCTGTGGGTAATGATGGGGCCAGTGTTAAATTCTCAATCTTTAGAAGGTTAAAGTATGCCCCCCCCCAGTCAATTTCCATGAGCTTCCATTAGTAGTTCACTGATTTCCAGAGCAGTCTTCAGAAGTGTCACTTGTAAAGAAAATCAATGCTTTTCCCAAAATTACTTTGTTAAATATCTTCATTTACACAATATGTTTCTACCATTCTCTCTTCTCACATAACCTACATTACAATGGTCTGTAATGGTAACATTAGTACAGAATCCACATGGTTTTACTTCCACACCGTTCCTGTTTTTCACTGGCAGGGAGTCATGCAATTGAAATGGGAAGAATGCAGCCTTCTTAATCAAAAAGATCCGAGTCTAATCCTTTCTGGCATCACTGTACTTAGCTCTTTCTTTCATCACCAAAAGCAGGATAATTACACTTCTATCATGTGATATTTATGATGATTAGGTGAGATTAAGTATGTGAGTATCTAGCACTTCATATTCCCTATTGTCTTCTCATCTGCTGGCCTTGTCAAACCAACCTCACGTTCTTCCTTCATCTAAACGTTAGCCATTTGGGTGAGGCACGCAAAACCCCAGCTTCTTTTGCAACTGACTCCACTGGTCCTATCTTTGACCTTGACATCATCTGATACCGCTCTACAAGTGAAAGCCTGAAAATCACTACCCCAACTTGGCAGCCTTGTCTACTTGCAGCCTCTAAGCTCTTCCATTCTCAGGACTCTAGTTCTAGGGCATTGCCCCAGACTATCTCCCTGTTTATCCTTCACAGCTAACAGGTCCTCCTGGTTTTGGTCTGAAGTCTTTATCCAGGGTTGATGCTATGAATTACATCTTTGTCATTCTGAAAGCCCAGACCACAAAACCTAATCTTGAGCAGAGTTTTGTTGTTTGTTTGTTTGTTTTAACGACAACATCTCTGTAGCTGGACACTAACAAAACCCACGCAACTGAGTAACTGAGCGCCAGCAAACTCTGACGATCTATCATTCTACCTCAGAAAGGCTCTGAATGCTGTGTGACAACCCACAATAGTTCTGATCAGCTTCTTCCAACCTTTCAAAGACTCCATTCCACATCTTTCCCAGTCTCCCCAAGGTTCTTATACTTTAACATATACTTTACTTTCAGGTGATGGTAAAATAAACTATACGTTAGATCATGTGTCCCTGTTTAAAACGCTCCAATAAGCTCTTAGA